AAATAATAAATTTGTATATTTGTATGAATTTTTTACGTTTATGTATATATGTATAATAAGTTTAGCACGATATTCGCTTAATCATAATTTTCAACTGCTTAAAAATTTTGTGAAATATACGCGTACACAAAGAACTACGACAAAAGAATTTCGTTGAACCACCAAAATGAGCTGTTCTTATCTAAGTTAACATATCAACAGTGAAATTCGCTCCGAAAAATATATACAAAAAATTTTTTATTCAGTATTTTATAAGTCACTTACGATATCGAAGGTTTATTTTTGTCGTTCTAACGGAATAAAAAAAACATTTCGCGGAAATCATTAAGTTGATATTGTATTTTGTTTTTGATTTTGTTTCATAAGCTCATAAACCATTTAAAATGTTCTGGAGAACAGCGAAAGATAAACCCAAGGAATCTACTTCTACTGAAATTGTACGTCAAGATCCACGTACATCTGTCAAAACTACAACTGCACAAACTGAAACAACAAATACTACAGTCCAGAATGCTACTATTTTTAATAATAACACAAGAACAGTTACATATCAAACAACACGTCAAACTGTCACTCGTCAACAGCAGGCAACGGTTACTGAAATTCTAACACGTCGTACTCCTACCTCCGAAGAGTTAGAACAAATGTTGCAACAGATGGGTAGACCCGAAATAAATTCACGTCGCCGTTCTGGAAATTTCCAAACTAAACCAACAGGCAATAGTGCATCAAACAATGGTAATGGCATTTCTTCGAAAAGTATGCCGAAATTTAAAACCACAACTAGTCCAGGAACGCGTTCCCCATTTAATTATGACTCACATACAGCTTTCGGCGTAAATAGTGGTAGCAGCAGTACTGGCGCCGGCATGCGCTATAGAACTACACCAACAACACCGACTTTAGTGAAAACTGAAGAAACGACAGTGACCACTAAAAATGGACGCACTGTAACTACTTCTGTTGAAAAACAGCGTATAAAATTAGATGATATTAAATTATCCTCACCAAATTCGCCACTAACTGTACCAGCTATACTACCAAAAAGTAGTAATTACACTTTTAACAATGGTAAAGCTAGTGTAAATAGTTCACTAAATACCAGTATTACGCGACCTGCTGGTAGTTTATACACTACTTCAAGTCTGAGTTCAAATAGTTTGACACCAGTGTTGATTAAAAGTGATGCCAGGCCAACAAATACAACAATTAAACCAACAAATATAAATAATAAAGTGACTATAAATTCTTCAGTATATTCAACCCCCAGCACATATGTTTCACCTTATACAAATCGTATCACTGCAACAGCTCCTCCAACAACACGTATTACAACAACAGTTAAACCCACATTTACGAGCACAACAGGGGCTACAAAATTAGCTACAAATAGTAACTACAACCCAATCAGTGTCTTTGGAAATGAATTCAAAAGCAGTACTGCAGCACCCACTACAAAATCTTCTTATACACCTGGTTATAAGTCAACTACTAGTACTTATAGTACACCAAGCTCAACACCATTTACTATGCCAAATATTTCGCCCAATACTAGCAATACCTCACTGGCGTCCACAAAGAAGAAATCTAAACTTAAACCAGGTTATGCATATATATTTAATAATGACACTTTCGATAATCCAGAAAATGAGTTTCGTGATGGTAGTTCCAATGATGTAAAATCCCTAAAGGAAGTGTTCGAGATGTTCAAGTTAAATGTGAATGTTATCAAAAATGCCACACTTGATAAGATCGACAGTACCGTGAATAATAGTAAGTACGATTTCAATATAAGTTTTGTGGTGAATTATACCATATATGTATAAACATTCATTTATCAAATTAAGAACTCTTTGGCAGTGCTTATCTTATCTTGAGTGTCTAACACATTAGATTGAATTAATGCAAAATCAAAAAACACATGTACATACATACACTTATATATTTTATAAATTTACTTTTATGTATATAAAAAGTATACGCAATAAATTCGGTATAAATATACAATAAAATTATTATAGTTCATAGTTCTACATATGTCAGAATTAATCAGTTGAGTGTAGCAAGCCACAATATGCACCAAT